GAGGGAGGGGATTCTGCCCCTCTACTCTGCTCTGGTGAGACCCCACCTGGAGTACTGCGTTCAGCTCTGGAGGCCTCAGCATAAGAAAGACACGGACCTGTTGAAGCGGGTCCAGAAGAGGGCCACGAAAATGATCAGGGGGATGGAACACCTCCGCTATGAAGAAAGGCTGAGAGAGTTGGGGTTGTTCAGCCTAGAGAAGAGAAGGCTTTGGGGTGACCTTATTGCGGTCTATCAGTACTTAAAGGGGGCTTATAAGAAAGATGGCAGCAAACTTTTTAGCAGGGCCTGTTGCGACAGGACAAGGGGGAATGGCTTTAAACTAAAGAGGGGTAGGTTTAGACTAGATATAAGGAAGAAATTTTTTATTCTGAGGGTGGTGAAACACTGGAAGAGGGTGCCCAGAGAGGTGGTGGATGCCCCATCCCTGGAAACATTCAAGGTCAGGCTGGATGGGGCTCTGAGCAACCTGATCTAGTTGAAGATCCAACCCCCACGGCAGGGGGGTTGGACTAGATGGTCTCTTTAGAGGTCTCTTCCAACCCAAACTATTCTATGATCCTATGATTAAATCACCAGGACTTGTGAGTAGGAGACTTACTTCTGCTCCTGTAAATGACCATATGTACTGCTATGTGTTTTCACAGGACTTAAAGATGTAAGCTATGAAGGGCTTGCTGTAATTTTTCAGGGTTTACTAAAGCCCCAAGAGGATTTACTGAGCTTATAAAGTGTAAGTGTAGTTCAACTCTGAAATTTGATTGACTTCAAGGCTAAACACTCTAGGGTTCTGATGCTTCTCTGAACCAAGTAACAAAGTTGGACAAGATTCATTCCTTACTGCTCCTGTTAATTTTGTCACTTCCTCTAATCACTTTCATTTTTTCAGCACAAGATTCATTTAATTTCTGTATAGATCCCGATTTGTTTTCTCTTTTTCTGTCTTACTCAGTTCATATTCAGGCATGTCGTGCCTTGATGATTGCTTCCATCCTTTTGGGATTCATAGCTACAGTACTCTCATTGCTTGGTTTGAAGTGCACAAACATTGGGTTGAGCGATGAAGATGGAAAAATGAAGTTTGCTGTCACAGGAGGATTTCTCTTTATTTTAGGAGGTAATATCGAGGCTGAAATGAGAATGCTATCAAAACTTTCTATTGCTTTCACAGCTAGACTAAATGAAATGAATACTTGTTCTTAGTTTAAAGTTGTTACCGCCATTAAAGGAATCATTCACCTATGTGCTTTTTAAACTTTTTCTGGTAGGTCTCTGCTCCATGGTGGCTGTTTCTTGGTATGCTGCGATGGTTACTGCTCAATTTTTTGACCCATTGTACGCTGGAACCAAGTAAGTTAATAGATCTGTCATACCAAACTCCATCATATGTTACAGACAGCTGCACTAACCTCACCTGCTGCAGAGTTTCAGAACCTGGATGGATCCTGCTATCCAGTCCTACAGGAGGAAAAATTTGTCTTCAGGGAATCTTTTCACCTCAGAGATGCTGGTGGGGAGGGAGGAGAGTTCTTTTCTGGAAGGTTTAGGGAATGTGTGGGGCATATCAACCCCACATCTGAGGGGTTTCTGTACTGTGTTTACATTTTCTTGTGAGACTTAATTAAGTGCACATCTCAATGCTATGAAGAAGAAAAGGTAAAACTCTTAATTTTCTTTGGCATTTAGACCAAAAGAGGTACAAAAATCTAGCTGTGGCTAGAATACAATGCCTCATATGTAGAAGCAAATGAAAAAATGTGCAGAAACCAGCTTGAACTGCATACTAGTGACCTGCAGATAGTTGAGAAATGTCATTGAAGTGTGCTGCTTGTCTTAAAGAAGTAAAAAAATATTTTTCACTATATAGTAACAGCTCAACATTTGTTTGCCTTATGAATGAAAATGAGGCAAAGTTTGTGGGACTATCAGCTCATACAGTTATGCACAAACAAGTTTTGAAGTATAAAAGCCCTTACTCTTGTCTGATCTAAAAGGCACAATCTTCAAACCCAAATGCCCGCTTATGGCACCTTATCTGGGTCAATAGATTTAGCAATGAGGAACAAGGGTGGAGGTGACTGGGCCTCTCCTTCAGAGAGGGGGGAAAAAGGGAGAGGGAAACATAATATATTGTCTGTGGAACATGAGAGAGCTGGTTTGGGGGAAAGGGGACATTTATAATTTGCCAGTACCTCTACCGAGTATATAGTTTTTAGATCAGTAAACTATAAATCTTCAGTTGCTAGGATCATATTTGAAGTGTTTTGTAAGTTTCTTCCTGAAAATCAGTTCAGGGAAGTCAGAGGTGAAGTGCTTTGTTACGAATCAACGTACTTCAAGCAGTTGCTTTGGATGGTTGTTAGTTTTCCTTGTGTTTTCAAACAAGCACTTACAAATAAATTGCACTTGTGAATACTTGTTCTTCTTTTATATCCCCTTGAGAGAATTACATGAAGGGTAATAAATACGTTAGAGGACCGAAACAACTGGTGATAAGGAATTTCAGTTAGTGGGATAGTTAGCGAGTTTTATAGTTATCTGGTATATTTGGGGCTTCAACATCAATGCATGTTAATCAGTTACCAGACTGTTTGCATTCAGTAGCTAAAGAAATCTTTTTTTTAATGTCTAAACCTCGTGTTTAAGACTGTTGATTCACTAAGCAGTTCTTAGTGAATTAACTTTGATCATTGGTAAAGCCAGACATGCTCTTGAGGAAGTTTGTGTTCCTTGGACTCTGTGAGACAGGTTTAAATTCAATTGCAGGCCAGTATTGATCTTCAGTCTTGAGACTGGCAAATCTGTTTTTTCAGATTGCATTTTTTTGGTCTGACTTCAGCAAATTAGTAAAGTTAACCTCTACTAATTCTTAGAGGAATTTCTCATACAGCTGTGAAGGCAACCTAAGTTCTCCTGCAAATCCCTCCTATATACTTTCCTTTGGCATGACATCTACAGCATTCCTGTCTATAGATGACTAGTGAGCAGAGACGATTGCATGCACTGGGCAACAGTCTCTGATTGTTCCTTAGTATTCCTCCAGCAACTTGCACTCCTGTTTTTTTGAGATAATGATTGTCTCCTTGTTCCATGTTTGGAAAGCACCTAAAACAGTGGAGGCCTTGTGGCTCCAATGTGTGTTGAGAACACGGAGAGCAGTGAACTTGTGTAAACCCCTCAAACCTTCCTGTTAGCAATTAATTCTGGAGTCAGAAACTTCGACGCTTTTAGATAATGATTTTGTGTTTACAAGTGGAAAGAAAACACACATATCTGGTTTCAGTATACCTTCTGTGCAGTCCATGACACTTACTTTGCTCTTATATTAGTTATCTTAGACCACAGAGGTACGGCCATATTGTGGATATAGTCTTTGTCCAAATATAAAAACTTGTTTGCCTCTTTTTGCGAAACTCCTGCCAGACTTTCCCAGGCTCAGTTGTGTCTAGTCTTTGGGTCAAATTCATTATCAGTGAATTTCTTGGACTGGACTAGGGGATTTCCTGAAGGGTGTAGTTTTGTACAGTAAAATGGGGAACTATTGTTTTTCAGCCTGGGACTATTCATAAATGTATTTCAGCCATATAACCACAGAGAGTGCTGAATATTCTTTAGGATACTACTAACTAGCCCTATACAAATAGCTACTTGATCTAGCGTTGTGTCCATAGAAAACTGATTTCTGTGGTTAGCCTTTTCTCATGACACAGACTGTAAGCTCCAAATCATTCAGTTTGACAAAATTACTTCAGTGGCACAGCCAATACAAGAGCAAACTAAGTGTTGTGGACTGCACAAGAGGTATATGATTATCATTTATTATCAACAATTTATTAAATATATGCAAGTATTTATTGCTACTTATCTTTATGTTGCTTAGTACTTTCTGTACTGTCACTAATTTGGCAGAGCACTTAAATATATATGTAAGAGTTTTACTGAACAGGCACAAAGCCAGATCTGTTCTACTCTGTTGTCTGTTGAAGTACCTTTCAGTTAGCTGATTTCTATGCAGACTAGAATTTGTTTGCATGATTTGTGCACCTTATGACTCAGTCTAAAATAATGGCTTTGTGACCCTGTTATATGCTGTTTCTATAAAATCTTTCATGTTTCAGGTATGAACTAGGAGGTGCTCTGTACTTAGGCTGGGCTGGATCTGTTCTTTATACGCTTGGTGGGATCTTACTGACCTGTTCATGCAAAGGGAAGAAAAAACAGGATTACAGGTAATCTTGGATTTGTCAGTTGAAATAGTAGCTGTCAATTATATACCATTTTCTATCTGTATACTATTCTCTCTCCCTCAACCCCTGGTATAAATTGTAGCCATATAAAGTACAAACAGGAAATTGTACCTATTAATTCGGTGCTATGGCATGTCACAGACTTGTGATGGCAGGGAATGCTGTACCAAATACTTGTACCTCCCAGATAGTGCACTTGTTGATATTTTGCCATCAGCAAAGGTTCTAAGATTTATGTGATGAAAATATGCAGTGAAAGAGCAAACTATCTATTGCCAAAAGAAAAGTATATCAAAGAATATAGTGTATTATAATAAAGATTTTCTGCAATACTCACTTCTATTAAAACATTCAAACGCCATTTAATTTGCAGAAAGTGTAATGGCATTTCCCCCCCAAAGCATATCCAATTGATCATTAGATGCATATGATTTTTTTTCTTGTTCCTTATGGAAATGTCTTGTTGAGTGTCAAATCAGAAAAGTTGAGATTTCTGGCCTCAATATTTAACCTTGCCTGGATTTTTTTTTTTTCAATCTTAAATTATTCACACATACAGAAGGTCCCTTTCTGAAGAAGAGGGATGAAATTGTCAGAAATAGCAGAGGTCGATGTCTACCCAGAAGAACCCAAATGGCTTGGAGCCTGTACAGGCTAAGCTTGAGAGGATGATAACATGGAAGGAAGAAGCATGCTCACTGCTGCTGTATTAAATCTTAGAAAAGTTATGTCAAAACACCTAATAAGTGAGAGTGTTCCTCTGATACTCCATTGCCTAATCTGAAGCCATTTAAGTTTTATGGTAATATTTCATCAGCCACATTGGACTTTAGATCTCACTCACCATACTTTGATACAAAGTCCCAAATATCCTGAAATGTCTTGAAAATCAGGTAAAACTGAGGTATGAAATAGAAGATCAACATGACGAATGACAGCTGAAGGGGTTGGCTGAAGATACTTCTGTTTTTCTTTCTCATCATCTTGATTCCTATATTAAAAACTGCAGCTTGCACAAAGGCATTAAGGTCTAGGTTCTCTTCTGCTTTAGGGACTTGACTGAAATGCCTCGAGGAAGAGCACATGTGAGTTAGGAATCCAGAGTGTTTCTGGTTCAGAGAGAGATGTCTGTGCTGCCCATCAAAGACCCCATCTCTTTCCCCTTAACTACAAAACTGATGAGAACAATAGGCCTCCAATTTCTGCACCTTTGTGAAGTATGTGCTATCGGGGTTTGATACAGACCTAAATGAGTAACTTCCTAAGTATCTGAAACTGTGGACATGTGTGTAATACCTATTATTTTGTATCTTTTTTTTTCTTAATTTACAGTTGCAACAAATACGCGTATTCAGCAGGCCAGGCAGCTCATCAGCAGCGCATTTACACCAAAAACCCTGAGACAGTCATAAGCAACAAGGAGTACGTCTAAACTTATCTTTTACATCACTTATAACGTTAGTAGGTTATGAACTCAAATACAGACGTGAACTACTTCCAGGTTTCCGGTTCCACGTTGCAATCTTTCATCTTAATTTGGAGCAGTACAAGGAGGAGGTATGGTTTTCAATGTAAATAGGAATGGTTTTCTGGGAATGGTTTTCAAATGTAGGTAGGTTTCTACAGATAATGCTGTGATGTGGAATCCTGCGTCATGAAGGTTTTCTGCATGCTGAGAAGCCTGGTAAAATTTAACCAGAGTGTGCAGTGTATCCTGACAATCAAGAGCAACTGTTTCTATTTCAGCTGACTCAAAAATGCGGAACTGATATGCTGTAGCTGACTGCAAGTTAATACGCCTCACAGTTAGAAATGTATTGTGTTTTCATTAATGTTTAGCTTTCTACTTTTGTTTATCAGCTTTAGCTTTGACAGAAAATAAACTTTATTCCACAGATGATTGGCTGAAACAAATTTTTTGATGAGTGGTATCCTGGCCATTAATAAGGATATAGTCTATATACTGTGGGCTTGAAGTCTCATGTTATACTGAAATTCATATTATGTATGATGCTAGTCAAGATTTATAAAAGCTACAAAAAATTCCCGAACAACCACTTACCTCCAAATCTGCAGATGTGCAACAAATTTCTTGTTGGTTGTAGTGCACGTACCAAAGATAAACGATACAGAATGAACCAAACACAGCTGGGAGTGGAGAAAGCATCTGGTGCAAAAATGCCTCATGATAACTAAGAAGATGATAGCCCCAATTTTTTATTTTTATTTCTATGCTTTCAGCTTTTAAAATAATCCAATTTTAACTTTGAGCAATCTTTAACTTTGGGAACTTCTACTGCATGTGAATTGTCTAATTAATGTAATTCCCCAGTGGCTTTATTCTCCGTCATTGTTCCATCATTAGAATTTCTGCCTTAAACTATGCCACTGCTGGGAGCATATGTTTGCCTTGTGTACGCACTTAGACAGATGACGGTGAGCTAACTTTACTTTGTATTGATGCTTTGAGCAACTTGGAAGGGAATTTCACACTGCAGGTTCACAGGTTTCATAGCTTGTCCCTTTTAAATTACAAATGTATTAATGCAGTTCGACAAAATACCTTCATGTTTCTCTCTACTTTTAATGTCTTATGATAAACATAATTGTAGTCTCATTTAGAAGCTTTGTGCAGCTTCCTTGATATCACAGTGGATAATTTCACAGGGCAACCTGCAAGCAGTCTTAGAAACGATTTAGCCATGTTGCTTGCATACAGATAGAGCTGACTTGTAAACCGACACATTAAGGCATGAATTGGGCACGGATAGATCTTGCTAGGCTTAGTAAGGAGAGCTAAAAGGAGTGAGGATTACTTTTAGATTGCCCATGTCATCTTTTCCCCTCCACTATCAACTACTCTTTTAAAAATCATCCCTTTGGTATTTTGGAGAATAATTTCAAAAGCCGAGAAGGCACTTAACTTTTCATGGTGGGAGCTGAACCCCTTACCATCGTTGGTATATTCTGTCCTCTGGATTTTTAGGTAATTTTGTGATGGTATTTTGGTCTGGGTGAACATAAGGAAAAATGCAGAGCTCAGGCAGTGACTAAGCAGTTCCAGTGTCAGTTTCCTACCAAAGGTTGTGTGAGCTCATGAACATGAATTATGATCCAGTAGGGAGCGATAAAGTCAGAACTTCCTTGGTCTGGCATCAGGTCTTCTAGTGACGTCACTGGGAAGTTTAATTAAAAACCAAGAGTAAAATCCCTATGTAGTAACTCATTAATTCGTTCAGTACATTGTTACTGTATTCAGTGTCATTCAGGGGAAAAATAAATGCTGAGGATACCATGCCTTTCACTCGTTTGTTTCCAGTCCTTCCAACCGTTTTCTGTTTCTGCAGTTCCTCTCTGCTTATCTGCCCCTTTCCCATGCACTTTCAACGGTAACACTCTGAATGAATTTGATGAACCATCAACTCAGATTGGGGAGTAAGGCATTTTATGTATAGGTGATATATGAAGTGATTTTTTTTTTTTTTTTAAAATCTGTAGCAAGCCACTTAACTCTCTGTAAAACATCTTCACACATTGCTATTTTTAAGTCCTTTGTTCAGCAGATCGGACTGCTTTGGTATCTGCAAATCTTCTTCATATCTCTGGAGCTGAGACCAAAATCCTGCATTGGGTTCTGCTACTGGTCTGGCAGTCTTCACAGTCTAGGAAAAAAAAGAGAGGTGTTGTAGAAGCAAGGGAAATAATGCAAATGGATTTCTTCCTCTTAGACTTTTGAGAAGGTTTATTTTGGTTTTGATTTTGCTATGGAATAATAAACAGATATTTTGGTGAGCTGACCTCACTCTGTGCTTGCCAAGACCTCCTGGCATATGGTCCATGTTACAGAATGGATTTGTGGATGAGATATGAAAAGGAGCTGTTGAATTTGCTGGAAATGTGAATGTCTGTCACAAAGTGTGGCGACAACACTCATCTTTAAGATAGAGTGAAACTTGGTCATGTATCTGCACGCCTCTGTCTGGTACTGAGCAAAACAGTTGTCTAAATTAGAGACTTTAGTGATATACCTACCAAATGGGTGAAGACTAAAAGACTAGCCTGGAGAAAAGGAGGCTGAGGGGAGACCTCATTGCTCTCTACAACTACCTGAAAGGGGGTTGTAGCGAGGTGGGTGTCGGTCTCTTCTCCCAAGTAACAAGCGATGGGACGAGAGGAAATGGCCTCAAGTTGCGCCAGGGGAGGTTTAGATTGGACGTGAGGAAAAATGTCTTTACTGAAAGAGTGGTTAAACATTGGAGCAGGCTGCCCAGGGAAGTGGTTGAGTCACCATCCCTGGAGGTATTGAAAAGACGTGTAGATGAGGCGCTTAGGGACATGGTTTAGTGGGCATGGTGGTGTTGGGTTGACGGTTGGACTCGATGATCTTGGAGGTCTCTTCCAACCTTAATGATTCTATGATTCTATGATTCCATAAAAGACCATAGAGCATGAGTCATATGTATTGGACGGGCTTCCTAATAAAGTTGAGATGCTATTACTTGTAGCTAGCTAGTCCCTGGCTATTTAGCAGGCCTAACAGGTGATGTTTCTTTTCTGTGTTGAGCTGTCACATAGGTGAGAAGAGTAAATCCTGCAAAACAACTTCTGCACAAACTTGCTTCCTTTTCACTCATTTGCTTTATGTCTCTGTCTCTAACTTCACTTACCATGAATAAGCAAATGATAGGGAAAATGTTCACAAAACAACCAACTTTGCATATTTTGCTACCAGTGCTTAAAGCCTACTTGCAGTTGTAATTATATTTGTCCCAGAAACCTCACATTGAAAGCTTATTTGTGCAAGTGGGGGGTGAAAAAACTTACGGTGGAATTTTATTCACATGTTGAATGTCTATAAAACTGCTAATAAACAGGCGAGAGCACCAAAATAATTCTATGAGAAATCATCATTATTCATTATAAGCATTTAATTTCTTACCCAAAAGATGTCTAAATATAAATCTGGATATAAGTACAGTACCTCAAAGGCATCCTTGAGTGGGAGTTTTCGGTGTCTCATCAGATAAGCAGTGCAAATGGCAGCTGATCGGCTGCGGCCATTTTTACA